GCCTTGACAGTAGGGTTGTTCTCGATCTCCCATAGGCCCTCGCTGAACCCTTTCCTCTTGTTGGGCTTGCCAAACTTCTCCTTGGACTCTTCATAAGGGAAGAGGTCTTTGGGGCCCAGGAATGCTGTCTCATGGGTCCCCCCAAAAAAGACTTGATATTTGTTGGCTGTTGATTTCACCGCAGCTTCAGGCATCTCGTCAATCCGGGCTGGCCAGTGTGGGTAACCCTTCATCTTGGCGAACACCAGGTCCCTGCATTTGTACTCCTTCTGCCGGTTGGATTGCGACATGGCGGGGCTCCGGGCGCCCCGGGCTCCGCGCCGGGCCGGGAAGCGCGAGCCCAAGTTTGCGCCTAATAATGATTTTTGAGACCACATCTTACATACTTTGCTCATGTAGCCAGGAGAGGCCAGACTTTGGAGAAGGATACCATCCTTGGGAGGGTCGAGAGACAGCACAGGATAAGAAGACCTGGATGAGATGAATTGACACACAATAGACAGGGTAATGAGGGTAGGTATGTAAAAGAGAGTGAAATTTGCTCAGGGTAGAGAAGAGTTCAGAGATAGTGTGCATAGGGTTGCTATGAGTTGCAAGTGACTTGATGGCATATAAAACAACTTGACCAGCAGATCCAAAACCTATTCTACCCATGTCACGCCCACAATCTCTGACACACTAGAGCCCATTGCTGCACTGTGTCAATCCACCTGCTGAAGGTTCTCTCTTTTGCCACCACTCCACCCTTCTTAAGCATCATGTCCCTCTCCAAGGAATAGCCTTTCCTAGCAACATACCCAGAGTATAATAGATGAAGCTTTATCTTCTTTGCCTCCTAGGAGCACTCTGGCTGCATCTTGTCCAGACATACCTGTTTGTTCTTTTAACAGTCCATGGGCTATTCCATGCTCTTTCCCAATACTTAGTTCAAAGGAATCAATTCTTCTTCTTTAATAATACTTATTCATTGTCCAGCTCTCAGATGCATTGCAAGTGATTAAAAAGGTTAAGGTCTAAATCAGCCACCTTATTCCTCAAACTGACATCATTAATAATGAATAATTTGGATTGGTCCCTGACTGCAGACTTTCCTAATGCAATATGTCTTCTGATCTCTTGACTGCTAATACCAAGAATGTTGATTGTGGATTCAAGTAAGGTAAAGTCATTAACTGTTTCATTTTTTTCTCCATCTGTCATGATGCTGCCGATTGGTTCAGTGGTGAGGATTTTTGTTTAAGGCTGTATTCTTTAATCTTCTTCAGCAAGTGTTTCAAGTCCTCCTCACTTTGAGCAAGCAAGGTTGTGTCATCTGTATAAAATACAAGTTGTTGATTAGTCTGCCTCTGATCTTGATCTTCTTCGTATATTCCAGCTTCTTGAATGATTTACTCAGCAAACAAATTTAGTAGGTATGGAGAGAAGACACAACCCTGACATGTATCTTTCTTAATTTTAAACCATGTGCTTAACAGTTTTAGTTTACTTGGTTCCACAGTCAACACTCTTGGTAACAGCAGCCAGGAAATCAAGAGACGGATTGCATTGGGAAAGTCAGGTGTGAAGGACATCTCAAGAGTACTGAAGAGCAACAACATCAGGCTGGAGACTACGGTGCACCTGATCCAGGCTATATAGTTTTCGCAATTACGTGCTATGCATCGGAGAGTTGGACAGTGCATAAGGATGATAGAAAGAGAATTGATGCCTTTGAGCTGTGGTGCTGGAGAAGAGTGTTGAATATACCATGGAGTGCTAGGAAAACACACAGGTTTGTCCTGGAGAGGGTGAAGCCGAAGTGCTCCTTGGAGTTAAGGATTCTGAAGCTTTGTCTGACATACTTTGGGCATGTTGCAAGGAGGGACTGGTCTTTGGAGAGGGGCATTATGTTTGGGAGAGTGGAGGGATGGCACAGGAGAGGAAGAGCCTCGATGAGATGGATCGATTCTGTGATTGGAGTGATGGGAATTGAGTGTGTTTGAGACGATGAGTTTGGCACAGGATAGAACGGTGTTTAGGGCTTTTGTACAAAGGGTCGCTATGAGTAGCAAGTGACTCGATGGCACATAACAACAAGTTTTCTCTTGCTCTGTTCACACAACAGCCTCTTGGTCTAGGTCTAGGTTTCACATGAACACAATGAAGTGTTCTGAGATTCCCATCCTTCTTAATGTTAGCCATAATTTGTTATGATCTACAGAAATGCCTTTGCGTAGTAAGGAAAGCACAAATAGGCATTCTTCTGGTATTCTTTTCTGTCAGCCAGGATCCATCTGGCATCAACAATAACGTACTTTTCTAAATTTAGCTTGAACTTTTGGCTGTTCTTTGTCTATGTACTATACCAGCCATTTTTGAATGATCAACAATAGTGTTTTGATTTCATATGATATTATTGTTATTAATATTAATTTTATTGTTTTACAATTTCCATATTCTGTTTCATCACCTTTCTTGAGAATGAGAACAAAGACGGATTTCCTTTAGTCAGCCAGCCAGCCATGTAACTGACCTTCAAATTTCCTAGCATAGACTGGTGAGCACGTCGGATCTTGGGGCCTTATTTTTTTGCCAATGCCTTCAGTACAGCTTCGCTTTCTTCCTTCCGACCATTGGCTCTTGTCCATATGGTACTTCCTGAATTTTGTCAGTATCAGCCAATTTTTTCTGGTACAGTGACTGTACTATTTCAATCTTCTCTTGATTTTTTCTGGCTCATTCAAGATTTAACCCGTATGATCCTTCAATATTGCAACTTGAGACTTGAATTTGTTTTTTCATTTCTTTCAGCTTAAAAAATGCTGAGTGAGTTCTTCCCTTTCAGTTCTACAATTCCAGCTCTCCTCACCCACACACATTATAAAACTTTGCTTTATCTTCTTGAGCTGCTCTTTGAAATCTTCTGTTCAGCTCTACTCTTTCAGCCTCTCTTCCCTTTGTTTTGGCTTCTCAACATTCTAGGCAATTTTCAGAGTCTCTTCTGACATACATTTTTATTTTTCTTTCTCTTTTGTCTTTGTCATGACTTTTGTTCTCTTCATCCTACAACTCATCTGGTTTTTGGTCATTGGTGCTAAATGCTTCAAACCAATTCTTAAGATGATTTTTAAATTCAGATGGGATAGACTCAAGATCATATTTTGGTTCTCATGGACTTGTTATCATTTTCTTCAGCCTCAATTTGAACCTACACATGAGTAATTTGTGGTATGTTCCACAGTCCACATTTGGCCTGGTTTTGATTGCTGATATGGATTTTCTCCAATGATTGTTGCGTTAGCCTAAAAGTTGGCTTTATAAAGCCGTTAGTTAGCCCCCTTTAGTCTCCAGCTACCTTAATTGCCGGCACATGGTCTTGCAAATTAGTAGCTGTGGGACTAGGATAAAAAGAACGCTTCTCCACCTGGGCAGCAATACTTGAGATGAGCAAGAATTGTGGAAGACTGGAACAAGACTTTGGTAAAAGTGAGACACTGGTGATGGTGGTAGAGAGACTGTGGCATTGCTGTGGAGAAACTGTGGCAAATTGTGACCTCAGGCTTCTTGCATTTTTTCTGGCCATGGTTACAGGTTTAACTGTTTTTGCCAGTTGTTTGAAGAAGAAGCTGACTTATAACAGCTCTGAGGCATACCTTGCTGGGTGATTTGGATTTGACTGCTGAACTGAAACCAGAGTCTGGACTAATTGAGGAGTTGTGACTTGGGACAGCTTGGATAAAATCTGGACTTGTTTTGGGTGATATTCTTTGCCTCCTCCACTCTTGAATTTCCTTCCCTAATAAATACCATTCTTAGTACCACAGTCTGAGTCAACAATGAACAAATGCACCTCTTGGTATTGATGTGGCTCCAGAGGGGCTGGGCTATGAGCTCATTATGTGCTCTCTGCTTTGGGACAGTGAGAAGCTGTGCTAGTCTTACTCCCTCTGGCCCTTACAGACACCTATGGCCCTGTAGTCAATCCAATTCCTATGCAATCCATCAGGTGAAGTCCACACATAGGAAGTTTCCATTTGTGCTTTAAAAAAAATTGTATTTTTGATGAATAAGTCATTGAATATACAAAATTCAATCACTCTATTTCAGCTTCATTTCTGTCTCCAAGTCTATGATTTCTGACTACAATTCCTTCTTAGTTGTTTCTAGCTTTTGCGTTCCAGTCACTAATTATAATGGATTACATGTTTGGCCAGTTTTGGACTGCAAGATATTGTAAAAAATCTTCAATTTCTCCCCTTTGGCTTCTGTTGTGGTCATGTATATTTGAATAATAATGCTATTAACAGCTGTTCCTTGTATGCATATGGAAAATATCCTGTACTTCATATAATTTTACTTTAAGATAGAACTTGAATCATCTTTTTAACTTTGAATGTAACACTATTCTTTTCCATGATGGGTTTGTTTTTTTCCCCCATTCTCAGCATAGTATATAATATTATTGTCTCGTTCAAAGTAGTCAAAGCTAGTCCATCTCATCTCACTAATGACTAGAATGTTGATGTTCATGTATTCCATTTCACTTTTCACAACTTCTAGTTATCCAACATTCATACAGTCCATGTTCCAACTATTAAAGGGTGTTCACAATTATTTTTCCTCATTTTTTTTACTTCCAATTCGAGCTCTCTCTGTAATACTGTAGCTATCCATGTTCCTCTCATAGGATTTTTAAAGGCCTACTATTTAAGAAGTGGATAGCCAGTTCTGCTTTTGTCTTAATCTTGGAGCTCCACTTAAACCTGTCTGTCACATGTGATCTGTGTGGCATTTGACTCTCTAGTCCCATAGCTTTCAATATCACAGCAACCCTCAAGTTACTTCAGCACAGCAAACTGGCAGACAAGTGCTGTACTAATTAGAACAATGAATTTACCCACTATAAGAAACTGACATATCAATAGCAAACCAGGCATATGACTATCATGTTATCAGTTCATGTTGAAGCCTGCAGAGATATGACAGGAAATTCTCCTAGGTGAATGTTGAAGCATTCTGGTAAGATTCATGGCTAGCATAGGATATAGTGTCTCAGAAGTGAATATTAAAGTCTCTACTGGATCTTTGACGCTTCACAGGAGGCCTGAGGGCCTAAAGGGGAGTTGTGATTGTAAAAAGCCCCACTTTCTGGCTGAAGCTGCTCTGAAATAGAAACCAAGCCATATTAGTAGCAGTTTGACCCAAAAATAATTTTCAGGCAGAGGGTTATAAAAACAACTTGAAACAGATACAACTATACACACTTACACGCTCTAAAATGATATCTGCTATAGAAATAGTTGCATTCTATCTGTGTGGGGATCTCAAGAATATTATCGGAGAAGAATACAAAAGGTCATCACAAAG